TATTACAAGTAATGGTGATGATCAGTAGTCATTTGAAGATAATCGTTGGTCATTGCTGAAAAGGTGCTGCTTTGGTTAAATTGTGCTAATATAAAAGCTTGCTATGCCAGTCCTTACATTTATGCACTTCCGTGCTACTAACTACTGAATACAGGTGAGAATAATCGTTGCCTGATCCTGCAAAATTATACACCAGTTAAGCCCCTTTCCTACGATGACCGCCAATGTCCGATTTTGTCACAAAAACTTCATGATTTTTAACCAAGATAGTATATTTGGCACAAGGAACGTTCAAGTAACAAAAAATAGTACTAATGTTCATAATCAACGGTCATTTGAACTCTTGAAAACAGTATTCGGTCATTAGTGAAAAGACGAATTTCGTGGAAAATACCGTTTTTACACATTTTCAGAATATTACAGCACTCTATTGGGTTGCGTTCCGGTCAGTTTTTTTCTTTTGACATTTACTTTGAGAAATGCCCTTCACAACCACACCAAGCAATTCTATGTCAGACCTGCAAAGAAGCAGCTACATGCGTTTTAGGATAGCATAGTTTTAAACATATGTAAAATGACCACTTTATGATCACTCACAAAAAATTCCACACGATTCATTCATTCCCAAACGACTAGGATTTTAAGACGACTACTAGGCCTATCATACCTGACCAATATCAAAAATGTAGAGACACAACTTTTCGGGTAGGAGCGTTTTGAAATTAGGGTAACAAATTGGTCGAAATATGTCAACTTTTGCCCCAAAACAACAATTTCCAGTTATACCGGAAGTTGTCCGTTCAAAATTTTTTCACTCCATCATGTGACTTCTGTCGCCTAGGGGTCCCCATAGACCAAGTATGGTTGAAATTTGCTGACCCCCCGGATTATCGTTTTTTTCAATTTCTGCATGGTGCTCTCGTGGACACGCTCTTAAAATGATTTTTCCAAATATAAAATACCCTTGGCTCCTATATAAATCATCATAACCACAAAGCCATAAATACTTTGCATATACGTATATAGTAGTATTATAGGACTGACGGGGTTTCGATCCCCCGGTTGTACTTGACAGGGAGTAGAGTTGCCCGTCCAAGCGAATTATTAAAAAAAAATTATCCATGTTTTAGTCAGGAAAAGCCCCCCTCTCTCTCTATCTATCTCTCTCGCCCTGTCTCTCTCTTATTTTTTTTTTTTTTTTTTGGTCTATTAATTATTTGAAAATAGTATAATTTATACTTGAATCATGGTAATATATAAAATAGTAACAAAGAGTTTTGTTTACTGGGGTTTTGAGGTTTTCTTGTTCTTGGGGTTTTAATTTGGGGCGTCATCTAATTGCTTATATTGCCATACAATAAAATAAACGAGTGGGCCGCAGCTATATTTCCCATGGAATGAAAAAAAAAATGAATGAAAATTATTTTTGTGAATGATAGTATACAACCCGGGCCATTGGCAATATTATCATTATTCCAAATATATCCATATGTCGCAATAGATCCCACAACATGTTCTAATCAATGTTTGTTATCGTGATTTTAAGTTAGGAGAGGGTGACAGCTGTCCTAAGTTCAAATTGATTTTAGTTAAGATTGTCCCTAAAATAGCTTTGTGAAACGCCACTATTTTAAGTTAAGATACAATTTTAACTTACAATATTATTTTAGTGGATTTTATCTAAAATGCTTCAAATCGTTTTGTGAAACGCATCTATCTTAAGTTAGGATGGAATTTTAGTTTAAGACGATTTTAAGGAGATTTAAGTTTTTGTGAAACAGGGCCCAGTTTATATACATTCTTATTACACATTATTATATGCGTTGCGACCCATTTGTGTCAATTTCTAGGTCCCAAATAGAGAGAGAGAGAGATTGGGTTTAACGTCAACTCGACACAAACCAGGTCATTTCGGGACTAACACATGGTTCCATTTTATTTCAACGATTCGCTTGCGCGTACTTTTCTTTAGCAGTGGGAGGAAACCGGAGGACCCGAAAAAACCCACGAGGTTGGACAGGCGATCCTACTCTTTTTCACGTACAACCGGAGAATCGAAACCACGCCAGTTGACTCAATGACAGACCTTATGATACAGCGCGCATGTGCTAAAAATTCGGCCACCCAACCCGCTCCAATAATCGTGAAATGTCATTGAAGTGTAAAAATTGTGTTAAATGCAACACAAACAGCGTTATTTCGGGAATTTGTTTCAATTATTCGCATGTGCGTAGGTAATGGAAAGATTTGGGACGGGGGTCTAAAGACGCAGAGAATCCCCATGATATTACACAGGCGACCCCACGTCTTGTCGCCACAGGTCGAAACCGCACCACTAAACTCAGTCGAAGGCCATACCATCTCAATCACAAACTGTTGACTAAATTGTAATGTAAATGTAAATGTTAAAGTAAGTAAATGATACCCCCAGATGTAATAAAAAAAAACGATTTGACTTTCTTGCATGCACCCACAAATAACACTGATTGACAGTCGTTAACCGTTGTATAAAGTTATCTAAATTATTAATTAGACATTAATTAACCTATCCAGACCGTAATCAACTCTCGATGTCATCGCTAGCCTGTGATATTTACTGGATTAGAACCCGATCTGCTGCACAACGCTCATTGATGATTAAATCAAAAAATGGATAATCGAGAATGTTTAGTAATGATGATCGAGGCTAGGCCAAAAATTCAATCGCTAAATTCTCGGTTCAGAGTGGATCAATTTGACTGAAATTTGCAGCAAATTCCCTTTACATTCAGTGCCGGTGGAAGCAATTCTTGATTGGGTGGGGGGGGGGGTACTGTCTTACGACTGTAGGCGAGGGTCCAGGGGCCGCATAACTTTCAGGCAAACACGTGAGGTGAAAACAAAAATTTATATTTCATCACTCTACTTTGTGCGACATTTTACGGGCATCGATTATGTTTTGTGAATTCATCAGCAACAGTCTGATTGGATGGTTGGAATTCGGGTCGGAATAGGGTGGTATTTCTCTTGAAAACCGATTGGAAACTTTGAAGTTGCTTAATTCATAGGTTAATACAGTTGTCTTCATGCTATGTTCCCACTATCACGATTCGCGCCAGGAAAACGTGTCTGCGATCGCTAAATTTTCCAAATTATCCTTAGGGGTTGTGTGGGAGAGGGGTCCTACATGTTAAGCTCTGTTCCTGTGCCTCTCGTAGAGACGACCGGCATCACCAACTGTAACCCGCAATTATATTTTGGGGGCAATTCAGGTTATGCCCCCTTACATTCATCGAGCTCGTAAGCCTTTGCTCGCAGCCGGGGATCTTTCAACCCAGGGATCAGTATAGAGCATAATAGGGGTTTCTTCTAAAAGCCTAGGTTCAAGAAGTCTCACGTCTATGTTAAAATCAGACCTCGTTGTATCTAGCGGCATAATTACTTGCGTGCAATAACCCTGATAAAAGTGTACTCCGCTGGGCCTGACATTATTTAGTTTTTAACTATTATAGTGAGAACTGCCACCTCTTTATCTAATCTCCCATAATGTATCTTTAATAATATGTATTTTATTATACCAACTTTTAGTTCAGGTTATGACATTTCTTTAAAGACCAAATGCCACAATAATACGAAAATGGAAAGCGGACAATAAAGAAATTTCGTATGGGCTGCAAAACAGTAGGGTGTTACTTCATCTTACATATTGTTTAAGTGGCATTTAACAACTGGATGAGAATGACACATGACACAATTATATGGAATACATGTTACTTGAAGGATTTATTTCAGCGACGTTTTGACGAGGGTGCTCCCATCTTTATCAAGTAACTTGTATTCCATATAATTGTGTCATGTATTATTCATCTTATTTAGTTTCATTTCACATCCCATATTATAGCGGGGGGTTGGATGGCTGAATGGTTAGCGTGCGCGCGCTGTATCATAAAGTCTATCATTGAGTCGACTGGCGTGGTTTCGAATCCCCGGTTGTACGTGACAAGGAGTAGGGCCCTGTCCAACCTCGTGGGTTTTCTCCAGGTCCTCCGGTTTCCTCCCACTGCTAAAGACCCCTACGCGCAAGCGAATTATTGAAATAAAATTAAACCATATGTTAGTCCCGAAATGACCTAGTTTGTGTCGAGTGGACGTTAAATCCCATCTCTCTCTCTCTCTCTCTCTCTCCCATATTATAGCATACCGCTTGTTTTCTCCGTAATAGTAGTTATCTCCCTTGTGTTAATACTCAAACTTTAATACGACATATAGGTTTTTTTTCATTGTCTTGTGGTAACCTGTTAAAGGCCTCCATAATATAGTTTTTAGCCTTAATATAACCCCGTGATGTCGATGCTGACATACCACGAAAGTCTTTTATCTTGTGTTGTCTTTGTGGCGGAGTTCCTGTTCTGTCAATAACAGCCTGATTCGCGTTAATATTTTTCATTCTGTCTGCTGTAGCAATAGTAGCAACAGTTGTTAGTTCTGTAGATTTCCCACATCACGAACAAATGACGGCAGAGCGTGGGGTTAAGTTTTACTTCATGATAGCCAGTCGTGGGTATAATGAATACACACTATTACAAATTAAAGGTGCAGTATCCCTTAATATCTCTGTATTTGGTCGGGGGGGGAACTGATAGGGATGGGGTGTTACAGCCAGATGTTGTTTCCACAAGATGTCGTCGGTCTCTGCTCAAAGGGTGATAGAACGTAGATGTCGTCTGTCCCTGTCGTCTGTTACCAACATTCAATAAAACAAAGAAATACGTTATTTTTATCCTGAAATGGCCGCATTTTATGGGTGTACAATAGGATTCCCTCAAATATGTTATAACAAAAGCAAATTCGAGTATAAAATATGCCATGTAACTAAATGGTCATGCCTCGGGGGCAACTATAAAAATTATTAAAGTAAAAAAAGTACATGCGCGAACACAGCTCATTAGCTGGCATTCGGCAAACATCAGCAGATTCCAGTACCCTACATCTAGCCTCGGCTGTCCGCCATCCGTATTAAATTATTGTAAATATCTTAAACGAATAACAAACGCAAATTCTAGTATAAAATAACCTATATAACTAATAGTACATGCGCGAACACAGCTCATTAGCTGGCATTCGGCAAACATCAGCAGATTCCAGTACCCTACATCTAGCCTCGGCTGTCCGCCATCCGTATTAAATTATTGTAAATATCTTAAACGAATAACAAACGTAAATTCTAGTATAAAATAACCTATATAACTAAATAGTCGTTCCGCGGGGTAATTATCAAAATTATTAAAGTAAATAAAGTACATGCGCGAACATAGCTCATCAACTGGGAAACACATTCTGCGCTCAGCAACAAGAATAAATACTTCTCAAAATTCTCGAAGTAAAACTTGACAAAATCCGTTAAACATGGAAGCCTATACTTACAGGGAAGATAACTTTGGAACGGAAGGTCGCGGAATGCTTAATATCGATAGGATATGACCTCTTATAACCCGAATACTTCTCGCGTTCGTCATCCAGTGTGTCTGTTTTAATATATCCCGAGAAATATCTCAATCTGAATAGGATATAGTCGAGGAATATATTCAGAATACAATGACACAAAGTATCAATACAGATTCTAAAAGAAACCTTCGTATTTTAGTCTTTAAATACAATTTATTCCTCAAAGATATATCCATAACATATATTTGCAGCCGTTTTTCTTTTATTTTATAAACAGCATGTTATGGACTGACACTAATTGAGAAAACCCCATACCTACCTATATGTTATGTTACAAGTAATAATATGTACAAGATATATTTATCAATAATGAATGAAAATATGGCTATAAATAATCATAACAATGAAAATGAACAAAATGGTTATGTAAATATCTTAAATACCTCCCAACCCAATTAATACATTTGTTACTTTAAGGCATATTTGCTATAAGTTTAATTGACATATCCATTGCGACGATTTACAATCTATAAATCTAGTACAAACTGAAAGCTCTGTATAGATTTTAGTTTGCCCACCAGATCAAGTACAAGGTATGGGATACCAGTAATCACTCTTTATATCGACAGAGGTTCAATAGCGAGAACACAATAGTCATCATCAATAATTTGTCTTAGCCATAAATTAATTTTATTTTTCTCGTACTCGTTTAAAACCCCATCATTTGCTCTATAAAGTATTGCGTAATTATCAAATGTATACTTATTCCAAGCACAAGTCGGGGAAATCAAAATTAGCAGATTGCTATCTGGAATATCAGATTTGCTCACGACATTTCGTAACATTGATAGTTCCATGTTATTTTGAGGATAGTCTTTCAGATAGTTGTCAGTGGCCACTACGAGAAATGCCTTGCTCGAACAAATCGCATTTTCACTTTCATATAAGACTGGCTTTCCGGGCAATATATCGTAATGCCGAAAAAACACACGTAACCCTCTTTCCTTTAAAATAGGAAGAATTTCATCTTTAATGAATATAATATCGCGATCAGAATAAGATAAATAGACATCATAAACTTTAACAAATTGATCCATGGGAAGAATTCCACCTAATGCTTCCGATTCCATATTGTCATCTGGCACCAGTTCGCGATATGTATAAATCGTCACTATGAATAAACAATCTATTATAAAATGCAAAAATGCTTCAACATAATCTACGCAGAAGTATTCTAATATATTGAAACTGATTACATCGTGTTTCAATACAGATATGATCGTAAGAATGATATATATTTTAGTTGGAGAGCGGTATCTAAACTTTAACGGCGCTTTTAATGCCGAGACGTTAAAAGCACAAAAGAATGCTACCTTTAATAATTCAGAAAATCTTTTTTCGTAATTATCTTTAAAATATAATGCATAAATTACAACACGATTCGTCATTTCTATTACAAATCTAATATAAAGAAAATGGAAACAAATGCTAACAACAACAATTCCAAAAACCAAATATAGTCTGGGCTTTGCTGGACTATCTCTAGCAAGAGGTTCATCCAATTCCAATTCCGGGGGCCTCTTTTTAGTGATCGAAACAGTTTTGTATATGTCACCGAACATCTGTGAATTATCAACCGAAACTGTAAACGCGGTAGGATATTGAAACTCTTTTGTCTCGGATTTATTCAAATTCCTGTTAAAAACTTGACGACGTATAAAAAACTTATACGTTCCAGTACTATCTGGACTGGAACAAATGTTCATCCTGAAAAGTTTGTCGGAGTATTTTGTTACTTTATAATATACAAATGGCCATGTAAAAAGGCCATGTATAAGCCACGAACATCTGAACATACTGTGTGTTTCAATCGGTGGCTTATCATTGAATGTATAATATATTTCCATATTGTTCCAGTGGGGTAGTCCAGTAACAGGCAGTGAAAACATTACAATTCCACCTAAAGGCACAACAGTTGAAATATTCTCTTCTGGATATTGTTTAATAAAAACCTCTCGTGTGTACAGATCATCACTGCATTTGCATGCGTAAAGTGTCTCATTGTTTGAATTATTAGTCGAAGTTTGCAAAGTTGTATACCACGTAGAATCACCGAAATGAGACATAGTGGTTGTATTTATGTGCCGACTATCTTCTCCGATAGAAATTCCTTCTTTATCAAACCAAGAACATTGTGTAGTGCACCAGGTATCTGAATCAATTAACCGACCGCCTTTAAATTTATGAAGGTCTAAAGTGGGACTAACTTGATAAACCCAGCCTTTCCCACAACCAAACCAACGACCAAAAACAGAACCCAGGAATACAGCAGAACAAAGATAGCACAATTGAAATAACGCGCGAAAAAAACTCCATTTCCATTTTAAAGTTATGCTTTTACAATATGTCATCCGGTCACTCTTCGTATAAATTTGGTTTAATTCTTGAGATGTGTCCATCTGAACGATTTCGTCGGAGAAAACTCAGATCTGAAATATATGAAAATTATTCTTTAGCATACTGATCATAATCGTCATTACCATTGATTTCTAAGACTCAAGACGGGAAAAAAGATATGGAGCATCAGAAACGACAAAATTTTAATGACAGAAACGGCAAGTTTCAAACATGGTTTCTTTTTTGTGGTTTAGTTTTCAGATGGGTCAGCCTTGTCTAAGATATATTATGTCAATTCATTATCATTATTGTTTGTGATGGAATCTCCGTTAAACTTATATATATAATAACTATTTTTTATACGTCCATATTGTGGAAGTATTATGCCGCCACTCCTGTATGTGTGTGTGTGTGTGTGTGGGGGGGGGTGTTTGTGGGTCGCCTACAGAGCGCAATTCTTAATGAATTGTTTTTAAACTTTGTATATTGACTCCTTATACCCCAAGGATGATCTCTATTGTTTTTGGTGCATACCCGACTCCCATGGACAGAGTCCCGCCCTTTTTATGAATTTGTTTGTTTGTCATATTCAGGACGAATTTCTTAACGGATCATCTTGAAAAAACTTTGGATACTTGTTCTTTATACCCTAAAGATCACGCCTAATGTTTTTGGTGCATGACCAACCCCCTGGGACAGAGACATGCCCATTTCTCTTTGTGTTTCTGTGTGTCGCTTACAGGCCGCAATTCTTAATGGATCGTCTTGGAAACTTTTCATACTTATTCCTTATACCCTAAGGATGACCTCTAATAATTTGGGTGCAGGTCCGATCCCCTGGGACAGAGCCACGCCCAAGTTTTGTGTATGTTTTTGTGTCGCCCACAGGCCGCACCCATTACATATCCTTTTGAAACTTTGCTTACCTATTCCTGTTTCTGAGTGTCGCATACAGGCCTCAATTCTTAATGGATCGTCTTGGAAACTTTTCATACTTATTCCTTATACCCTAAGGATGACCTCTAATATTTTGGGTGCATGCCCGATTCCCTGGGACAGAGCCACGCCTAAGTTTTGTGTATGTTTTTGTGTCGCCCACAGGCCGCACCCATTACAGACCCTTTTGAAACTTTGCTTACCTATTCCTTATACCCTAAGGATGATCCTATTGTTTTTGGTGAACGCCCGACACCCAGGGGCTGAGCTACACCCATTTTTGCTTTGTGTGTTTGTGTGTAGCCCACAGGCCACAATTCTCAATGGATCTTCTTGAAACTTGATCTAAGTATTCCTTATAGCCTAAGGACGGCACCTATTCATTTTGGTGCATATCCCAACTCCTAGGGACAGAGCCACACCTACTTTTTGTGTTTATCATATACTGGCCGCAATTCTGAATGGATCATCTTCAAACTTGGCATGCGTATTCCGTATAGCCTAAGGGCAGCCACTATTGATTTTGGTGCATTTCCCGACGCCGGGGACAAAGCCAAGCCCATTTTTTGTTTAGCATCTGAAGTCGTCAATTCTGAAAGGATTATCTTGGAACTTAAGTATACTTATTCCTTATACCCCAAGGACGGTAACTATTGATTTTGGTACATGGTCCGCCCCCACTTGGGCGGTTCCACACCCACTTTTTGTTTAATATTTTGTCTGTAAATAATCTACAGGTTGCAATTATTAACATATTGGGATCCAATTCAGTATGATCCATCATAGGGAGGTACCTATTTATATTGGTCCATGCCCAACTCCCATAACTTTGGAACATAACTCTGTTTTTAACTGAGGTAGAATGTTTTACCTTGGTGTTGATGTTTATTAGGTGAATGTCTTGACCGAGTTCAATGATTAATATTTCATTGGTCGATGCTTTGGGACAAGATAATCTTGATTGTATCTGAAAGAGAGTAATGAAACTTAGTGTATAGCTGATAATCGGTTTGATTGCTCGATAATTTAAAAAAAAATAAACGAGCAATTAATTAATACGTGTCATCTATTTATTTCGGGATTTCGGCGAAGAACATCAGCCTAACTGTTGGCTTGTTATTATATGATTTAAAGTTACAAATATCAATAGGTTCATATCTTCTTTAATTTGTATTAGAATATTGTGGGATTATAGTAAATATATATTAATCATATTATTAGAAGTTATATATATTATTGTTTATTGACTACAAATATCTATTCTTTATCAAGTAATTATAACCTTTCGTGAAATCGTACCGATGACAGTGCGGCATTCATGACCTTATATTTTATTAACTAATGTGCAGAAATGGCTACGACTCTATTTCTTGTATATGATAATGTCATAAGCTCTTTCATTTAAAACTGTTTTATAATGTAAACTTAATAAAAGGATGTCGATGTTATATTATCAATGTCTATAATTCGAACGAAATTCCCAGACGACATCGATTTATACATGAATTACTATAATCAAAGCAACTAAATGTCTTTTAAAATAAATATTAGTGATGAGGTCGGTTTTATACGATTAAATTAACGAAAGGTAAAATCTTGGCCATAGTTTAACATGTGTCTTACCGTGTCGACAGTGGCACAAATGCCTTAAAAATCGTAAATGAGCCTCCATATCTACCCTAAGACTTGAGGGACGACGGCTTTGCTGTGGTTTGTTAACTGCAAAATCTTTACAAATCCCGGTAGTTTTAATGTCACCAAAAAAACAAAATATGTAAGGCAACTCTGTAGTCACATTACAATGTACATACCTGTGAGTTGAATCGAAATGTATAGGCCTATATATATATCTGATAGGAGAATGGTGGATCCTGTACTCCAATCTTCTTGACGCCAAGATCAATATAACTAATTAATATAAATTATAGCATGGAAAAACCCATACACGTCAGATAATAAAACACGATCCGCAGTAAATATTTACTCCTATCACCACAGTAAATAAGAGGAATGACATAGGGATACTGTACCATGTTGGCATGTACCCCTATACATATCATAAAATTTTACATAGGTGTGTGTTAATTATACACACGTGAAAATAGTCTCATGCGAACGCAATTGTATGTGTGTGCAAATTTGCACAAATATAGTATATTTACATCATGTAACGAGGTAGTACGAATATAGTATATTTAGATCATGTAACACGTATAGGCTTGAATGTCTAATACTCGCAGAGGCGTAGCCGTGAAATATATATTGGGGGGTCCGCAACCCTAACCCTAACCTTTTTTTTTAAAACCCCTAAAAAATATAAACAAACACCATGTGGCCATGCTGTCTACACATCTCGTTTGCTGATTGGCACAGACACCGCATGCAAAGCATTATGGTTACGTGACTGGTTGAGCGGGCGATAAATATATGGTTTAGGCGATAATGTTTTTGGGTACCTACATGCGATTCACTCTGATAAATGGCAGAAAAATATTAACAAAATATCACTGACAGGCTAACTAGACATAATTTTATGGAACACAGTTACTTTTCACGTCACACATGTTTCCAGGATGATTCTCTCTGTGTTTTATTTTAGCAATGTAAACCATATTGGGATATGTACAGGTTTGGGGGTCGACCGATTGGGGGGTCGCCCCCCCCCCCTCCCGGACCTATCACCCCCACCCCCCCATGTGTGACGCCCATGAATACTTGTATTACCTACACGGACACAGGAGGGGTTCTCGTCGATGTACCAACAATAATAATAATTCGTAATCGTATGTTCCATACCGATGATTTTATTACTACTAATGATGATTTACTAAAAAAATACAAATATTTTTCAAGAATAAAAACACAGAATAAAATTATTACCGTAAGTTATATTAAGTCTGTAAAATTTGTTCAGTGTGAAATTCAAGGTAAAATGACTAGAGAGAGGCAACTCTTGTTTTGCGATAGCTTCCACAGAACCAAAAACACACAGTTGCCCAATGGAAATCCAAACATGCATGGTAAATATTACAACATACATACTATTTAGGTATAAATATGTATAAAGTAAATAAAAAGCAATTACTTATTACTTATAGAACCTATGCAAATACTAGCTCGAATGCCGGGAACCTAATGCATATGGCGGGCGGGCTAGTTGACGAAATACAAACCAGCGTGCACAAGCAAAACTCACATTTTCTTTATAATAAAGAACCAAATATGCTAAGAAATGATCATAATTATATATATAGAGAATCACCTACGAGTCTTTTTTGATAAAAAAAAATATCAACACAAGTTGATAAAGTAACAAAAAACGAGGCTCTGCAGAGTTGGGGGTTTTTTTGGGGTTTTTTTTTACTTTATCAACGAGTGTTGATATTTTCTGATATCAAAAAAGACAAGTAGGAGATTTTATTTATCATCCAATCCTTTCTTACGTGCACAAATAAATAAATATAATTCTTTGCTATAGACTTCACTTTTACTGAACCTGATTACATTACGGCGCAGTGATACATCATTTTTTGACAGCAATTCAACCATTGCAAAGTCCTTTATATTGACCCAGTGTTTCCATCAAAGTCAATTAAATAAAAATAATTCATTTTTAATAAAAAAAAGAAGTTACTTTTAATAAAAATAAAGAAGTTACTTTTAATAAAAAAAATGAACTATTCTTTGAAAATACGAAAAAAGTAGTTCCTTTTTAACTGAACAATCAAATTCATGTAATGCGATATCTCGTTTATCGCAGTAGATTATGAAATCTATCACACAAGCGATATCTACTGTAGAATGTATTATTGAGTGATAAATGAAAGATTATACAATTGTAGTTGCCTAATTTGTGTGCCTCCATTGTCCCCAGATAGCGAAAATCTCCAGCTCAGTCGTAAGGCCAGATTATAAACTGACCTGTAGTAAATATTGATTGACACAGTCGCTATGATCACTAATACCCTGTTCACATTTACCCTTATACATATCATGCAAATTTCCAAAGGTGTGCAATGCAAATCGTTTCATAATTAGGTGCCCAGCAATTACACCGTGTCAGTGACGTTATAGTGTCGGGTATTCCAAATTTTGTTGTTGAATGAAATGAAACGAGGTTTAACGTTCTAGTACTGTACTGCACCGACTGGGTTATTGATGCACCATACAATGGGCTATGAGGGAAATTTTGGCAGCGCCAAATACGGCCTACCCATATTTCGAATTCCAATTGTCAAGAGCTCTTTTACTTGCACGCCAAAGTGTACACGGGACCTTGGTTTATCGTCCAATCCGAACGTCTATACAGTGTCGCTTACCAGGCCCTCCGTCCTGCAACACCTCTCCGAAAATCTATGTTTACAAATCCGAGATATCGGACCTCTTCATCAAGCTATGCTACCCGAAATGAAATAGGGTTTAACGTCCTACTGTTTTGCTCCTAAACTGGGCATACGCCATACAGTGTGCTATGGGGGAAATTTTGCCCGGGCAGCGGCGGCGCTACGGCCTACCCTTATATCGAATTCCAACTGCCAAGGATCTTTTACGTGCACGCCAATTTGTACTCGGTTTTTCGACCCATCCGAACGACTAGACAGTCACCTTGTCAGGCCCTCCGTCCTGCATCACTGACAAGGGGAAACCACGCCGGAAAATCTGGATGAACTTTCTCGGCCAATTTAGGGATCGAACACCGCTTTTATATTTCTTAACAATAAATGCATATATGAAATATATATGGTAACCAATGCGGGGCATGTTTTGTCGTCATTTGTTGGTGGACAGTCAGGTCCAAACTTAGGTAGGACACGTGTAAGTGAAATAAATATTATATTTCGACCTCAAAGCGCGAAATGATGTTATACACGTTTGTATTATCTCCGAATCTATGGGACGCTTGTTTCTTACTATAGGCGTATGGGGGAGCATATGGACACTGGAATAAAGGGGTGAGGTGGGGCAAGTACTGAACCCCGCTGTACACATAGTCTTCAGATTTTGACTGGTTGATTTGAACAATAAAAATTCCGTCATTTGATTAGGAATATACCCATTGTAGTACTGCTTTGGTGACCTTTCGTGTCGAATATACCGAGTGGTCGGGTACTATAGCCATTTTCTCAGTGAGTAGGATCTTGCCTCGCTAACCATGATCTCCCATGTTTGATCCTGGTCCCATCTTATCAGTGGTGCACGACAGAGCTCCTGCATATAAAATACATTATGTTTATCCTGGTATGACCACATTGTATGGGGGTACAATAACATTTCCTCAAATCATGTAAGATGATTGATCAATATGGAAATAATCCATATTTATTGACGGTAAATATACGGATAACAAAGTATATTCGAGCATAAAAAACTTCGAGAATAGACCGCTGCACTGAATGGCCGCCATATTAAAACAAAACAGTTTTGCATCTTTCATACATTCAAAGACTGATTAAACATATTCGATTTTATTAAATGGAAGCAGAATAAATACTTCTCAAAATTCTCGAAGTATGCCTTCAAAACCAAAATTGACCTCTATCGTGTGTACAAGCTTGGCATAAGCTGTTAAAAATTGAAGTCTGTATAGGGGCGATAATTTCGGAACGGAAGGTGGCGGAATACTGATTATCGATAGGATATGTATCTTCTTATAATAGGCTGGTTGGAGAAGGTGACAAATCCAGCTTTGTGGGAAGAAATTCCTACCCAAATGATTTCTTCATTTTCTGAAACAACTATGTCCCTAGTGTTCCAGAAAAATTTTCCCCGCCGACCGGAGTTGAGCAAATTTTTTTACAGCATTTTGAAATTTTGACCCCCTGGGTCAACATAATGAAACTGAAAACCATTTATAACTTCAAAAATATCAATTTTACAGCCTAGAAATGTATTATCAACGTATAGGAAAGTGATACCAAGGATTCCAGAAATGATGTAAAAAGTAATGTACGACGTCACCGTGACGTCAGAATACAAAATGGCGGAACTGTGACGTCACTGTGATGTCAAAATTCAAAATGGCGGAGACGTGTTGTGAATAAAGAGTTATTGTGTCCCAAACTTTCCACCGTACATTTGATCGGACAGACTGGCGGGTGAAATGAAAGGTGGGGATCAAAAACATTATTATATGTCAAAGGGTATTCTCTTTATATAGTACCAAGACTGAATATACGCTAGAGAAGATAGGCAGTTTATACACCAACCAAGATAACTTAGTAG